TTGTATTTAATACAATGGAGAAGATAATTCATTACTAATTATCAGGGAACGGATTTTTAGGACCTAAAAACCTATAAAAAAGGCAAAATAAAGTAACGAAATAGGATGGAAAAGGCAAAATAAAATAGCGAAAAAGGCAGGAAAAGGCACTAGGAATTGCAAAAAAGGCAAAAAAAGGCAAAACAAATTAACGAAAAAGGCAGGAAAAGGCAAAAAAAAAGGTATTGCAAAAAAAGCAAAAAAGGCACTAAAAAAGACAGAAAATACGAAGAACAATCAATAAATATATTTATTTTGGAAATGCTTATATTACAAGTAAAAAGAGAAAAACTATGAAGTAGTTTCATTATATGAAAAAATTTGTACTTTGAATCTTTGACTATTTTATCCTTTCGAGTTTCTAACTCATAAAACTTTAATCTGTATAGTTGTAGTAACATTGAACCACACGATGCATTTTGAAGTTTTCTGGCAGCATTTTCATTCGATTTTCGCGAAGAAAAGCCTTGAATGTACTAAATGTGCGCTCGACGTAAGTTGATACAAGTGGAGCCCAATTTAAATATGGAACGTTTGAAACGTTCATATTATCAGGAATAACGGCGTTTACCTCGCTTTTTACAATTTTATACACACCCCTTATTGTCTTCAAGCCTACGTTAGCTGAGAAAACGGCTTTGAATTTTTTCAACATCAATTTGGCAAGAGGTCCCTGTGCTTCTAGAAGCTGCATGGGCATGTGTATATTTTTTAATCTTAAAAAAAAATATTGTAAATGCTATAATCACTTTTTTAAAGGTGGAAAAGGCAAAAAAAGGCAAATACCTTAAAAAAGGCAAAAAAAGGCAAATATCTTAAAAAAGGAAACTTCAAATGTGTATATATGGAATCAGGGAAAGCTAAATCGTGTACATTCTTAATCGAATATACTCTATCTCTTTAGCAGAAAAAAAGGCAATTTCCATAAAATCCGTTCCCTGCTAATTATTAATGAAGCCACATTAGCCAAAGCACACGATGCATTACTCAACATAGAAGAAGCATTCGGTAATAATTCGTATCGAGTCTTTTATGCTCCAAGAAACAAGTGAGTAGTCCACTTGCAAACAGCGTTATGTGATTTTATAATAGAAAGCCATACATTTGAAAAAAACGACTACGACAACAAGTTACATTTAAATTGAATCTTTTTTATTATTACCTGAAAATTTGGATATTTATTTTTTATTTATTTATTTAATCAGCATATTTTGCAAAATAAATTTGCAAAATATAATGTCAGCACCGGACGTCTAGGTCATTGAGTGCCATTGTTGATGTCGCTTTTAGTTAGATTTGATTATTGAGGTGATGAATTTCTAATGATTTTTCTATTAATTCGATGTTGCTATTGTTACAATCCAGGATGTTTTTAATGCTTTTATTAATCTTCGAGTTTGGGCATACTGTAAGTATGTGCTCTATCGTGAGTGTTGTTGCACAAAATGAGCAAGATGGTGGTTGAGTTCTGGTGAAGATGTGGGCAGTGTTAAAAAGGGCAGTTGCAGTCCGAAGCCTAGCTAATTTGATGCATTGACTACGTGATAGTTTTGTGTTGTAGTTGTCCCTGGAAGTTGCGGCTTCTATTTGCAGAGCCTTTGTCGTTCTTAATATGATGCTCGCATGGCATGGGACTTCTGGTATCAGGGGAAACTTAAAACATTCTTTGGCGGCTTGGTCGGCTCTTTCGTTGCCTACTATTCCAGTGTGTCCGGGGACCCACAGAAGTTTTATTGGTTGCTTTAGAGTATCCTCTGACACGAAACTGTGGGCTTCATTGCTTTTATTTGCAATTGCATTGAGGGCGCTAAGGCTGTCTGAGCAGATAATTGCTTTCTTATCAAGACTTGCGGCAAAGGATATTGCGTATTTGATTGCAGTTAGTTCGGTGCAGAAAACGCTCGCATGCATTGGGAGCAAAGCTTGATGGACCACCCTGAATTGCCCGCTCCTTTCCTGAGCCACTACGGCATAAGATGGGGTGTCGCATGTTACCGATCCATCTGTAAATATTATTAATTGTTGGTCTGTATCATTGATGATCTGAAGAAAGCTTTGGACATATGCTTCTCGTGTATTTAAGATCTTTTTTGTTGAGTGTAGTGATGTATCTATCGTAATAAGATGTGTTGTATCTTTTTTGTTTTTAGACGGTTTTGCTGGAATAGGGATGTGAGCGTCATGTAGCATTTGTGTTATTCTTTTTAAACTGCATGTTTTGTGTATGGGTACACGATCGTTTACTATTCTGTCGAGAAAATTCCAGATGATATCGTGAAGTGGATGCTCATAATTGGTAATGGATTTCGCGGCTAGATTTGAGGAATTTTTAAACCGCAGACTTTGAAAATCTGTGATTCGCGCTTCTATTTTGAGCGTGGGAATGGGAGTTGTTTTAAGTAGTCCAGAAGCTGTTCTGTAGCATTTATATAGTTCGGTATTAAGTGTTTTGATATTTTTGTTGGACGTCCAGCCGTATAGTGTGATGCAGTGTTGTAAAATACCTTCAGTGAGTGTACGACAAATAGCAATTGCGGTGTCTATGTGTGGGCCTTTTCGTTTAGTGCACATGACTTTGAGTACATTGTTGACTTTCTTAAGCTTGTCTTTTAGGACATTAATATGATTGTTCCACAACATATTTTTTGAAAACTGTATTCCTAGTATTCTCAAGCTATTTTGTAAAGGTATTCTACGTCCTCGAATAAGGATTGAACTGGCATTGCAATTATTTTTCCGGCAAACATGGAGGGTTGTTGTTGCTTCAATGGGTACTGAGGCGCCTGTGTCCATGGCCCACTTATTTATATTTTCGTCCAATTTTTGCAAACTTTGCTCGACCTCTTCATGTGTTCCAGACGCAGCTGCAAAGATATTGTCTGCATATATACCTATATACGAAATACCTTGCACATTCTTTATCTGCTTTAGTAAGGAATTAGCGTAAAACGTATAAAGTACTACTGAAAGAGGCGAACCCTGTGGAATTCCGTTTTCTAGTTTCCTTTCCTTTGAAAGGTATCCGTCGACTCTGGCTGTAATCCTTCGATACGAGAGGAAGGAGAGAGAGAGCTTAAGGATATTCATCGGTAGTCCACATTTGTGCATTTCTTTTATTACTTCCGTAGAAACTACTCTATCGTATGCTTTTGCCAGGTCTGCTGAAAAAACGACCGTATGTTCTCTGCTTAAGTACTTCAGTTGTCCTTCTAATGTATGTGTAAGAGTGTGTACTCCATGTTTGGGGATAAATGCATGTTGTTCTGCTTCCAGCTTATTGCTGAAGCTCCTCCATATTCTGTTGGCTAGAATTTTATCAAAAGTTTTCGCTAATGTGGGCAAGAGGGATATTGGACGGTACCCTTCAAGAGAGTTTGGATTTTTTCCGGGTTTTGGAACGGGAGTAAGGATTGCATGCTTCCATCCATGTGGGTATACTCCTGTATCTAAAATACGACTAAATAGACTGCATATACGGGATTTTAGGGTGATGGATGCGTTCTTTAACATTGAATAGGTTATTTTGTCATGGCTGGGAGTGGTTCCTTTAGAGGTTTTGAGAGCTGCCTCAAGTTCTTGGAGCGTAATATTTTGGGTTACTTGCTTCGACTGTGGCGTTTGTGGTAAATTCTCTACAATCAAGGAATTTTTTTGGTCAATGATAGTTGACTCAAACGACTCATTCGAGCTTGCTGCGCTCCAATGTGCTCCTAGGGCTTCAGCAATCTGTTCCGGGTGCTTGAAAACAGCATTGCCAGTTAGTATCTGTGGGAAACAGGAGAAACGTTGACATTTGATCTTTTTGATCTTATGCCAAAGGTGCTTTGGATCGAGTGTGGGATTAATCGAGTTTAGAAACCGATTCCATGAATCTTGTTTGGCTTGTTTACATGCTCTTCGTACCACCGCACATGATTTCCGAAATTCTACGCTATTGTGAGCTGTTTGGTTCTTTTTAAACTGTTTCCATCTCTCGTTTTTGACTTTAATAAGATTTGCAATCTGACTGTTGAACCAGACGGGGCTATTGTGCTTAGGTGCTGAAAAGGTGGTGGGCATGGATTCGTTTGCCGCTTTTCTCAAAACTTTTTTTATTTGGGCGGCTTCTCTGTTGATGTTAACTGATGTAGTGAAATTTTGTGAGTAGACGTTAGTTTTATTTGTAAATAGATGCCAATTTGCCTTGTTAGTATTAAACCTGGGGTTGATTCTGCTGTTGATGTTCAGCATGTTGTTGAAAATTAGGATTGGAAAATGATCGCTAGACCCTGACGGAGGAAGACAATTCCATGTCAGAACCGGAGCTATGCCTCCGCATGCCATTGAGACGTCGACGTTTGTTAAAGTATTTCTCGTGTTTAGCAGTGTGGGAGATCCGTCGTTGAGAATTACAAATTGTTTATCGTTTGCAAAGTCTTCCCATAATTTTCCGTTCTGATTTGTTTTCTTTGCACCCCACAAAGCGTTATGTGCGTTTAAGTCACCACCCAGTAAGTGATATCCGTTATGGTAGGTGTGTATGTCGTCCAGGTGTTGAGCTGTTAAATATAAGTCTATCTCGCGGTATATGTTGGTTATGTGCAGGTCTTTTAACGCGTGTATGGTGATAGATTGAAAGAGAAGATTATTGTTAGATATTTTGTAATTGGAAGTATTCAAAGTTTCCTTTACGAGGATTGCAATACCCGCTTTGGAATATGAGTAAGTTTTGTTGAAGTGATACACTTTATAATGTGGAAGATGTAAGAGGTGTTTATTTTTTTCTATTATGTGGGTTTCTTGTAACATAATAATGTCGGGTTTATGTTTGGTTACGAGTAGCTCTAGTCCGAACTTATTGTTTAGAAATCCCTGTATATTCCATTGAAGAATTACGAGACTGATACCTAAATCCATAATTATTGTTATTATTATTATTTTTTTTTTTTATTATTTTAATTTTATTTTTTATTGTTAGTTGTCTATAATTTAGGCTCTTCTTCGGAGTCCGAGACAGACATAAAATATTTGTCTGCTGATAGAAGTTGCTGAGTTATATTGCTGAGTGGAGATGCGCTAGTGTTGGTTTGTGTGTTGATTGGTGCTTTGCTGAAGTGTGGTAGTATACATTCAAGTGAAGGGTTCGTTGTTGTTTTCTTAATGCTGTTGTTTGCATTTTGGTTTGTATTGTTAATAACTTGGGTAGTTGTTCTTTGAATAGCGGTGACGTTGTCGGTTTTGCTTTTGTTTGGAGACGTATGAGTTTTTGGTATTTTGGTCGTATTGGTTTTTGTTGGTGAAGCAGATCGTTTGGATGTTGTTATTGTTGGCGTATTTGATTTGTTAGTTTCTGATTGGCAGATGTTGGAATATGTTTCTTGAGGTTTTTGTACATGATTTAAACGTTCGCTATATTTGCGGCGGGCTTCGCCCATCGAGCACTTTTCGATTGTTTTTATTTTTAAGATTTCTTTGGTTTGCTTATATCTAGGGCAGTCTCTGTCCGAAGAGAAGTGATCTTCGCCACAGTTTGCGCACTGTTTACGTGTACATTCTGTTGGGGAATGGGGTGGTAAGTTGCATCCATCGCATGTGCTAGGGTTAGTGCATCGGGTTTTTGTGTGGCCAAGAAGTTGGCAATTCTTGCAGCGCATCGGGTTTGGGTAATAAGGGGAAACTTTTACCTTGTACCATGCTATGTCCAGAGTTTTTGGAAGATGGTATAAGTCGAAATTGACTGCCATTTTTCCAGTGGGCATTGTTTTGCCATCGAGTGTGCGAGTGAATTTGTAAATGCCTGATACTCCCTGACTTTTTAATTCTTCGATGATCTCTTCTTCTTTTACGAAGTTGAGACATGGGGCATAAATCATACCTTTAACCGTGTTAAGGTTTTCTTGCAACTTGACCGTGATAGGGCACACGTTTGATAGAGTTTTAGTTTTCAGAAATTTATCCGCTATTTTCGAATTTCGTGCTAAGACAAGTAAAGAGCCGTCTTTTAGTTGTTTGATGCTATCTATTTGGGTTGATATCGCATCAATACCCTTTTTTATTATAAACGGGGAAAGTTTTGCTAATTGGTTGTTAGTTGATGATATTGTCAAGTATTTTGGTTGGTTGATTGCTGTTTGTTTTTGGTGTAATGTAGGGAAAATGTGGGTGTCGTATGTATCCATTTCGCTAAGCATTGAGAAGCGATTTGTTGTTTTGTCCGGTGGTTCAGGTGATGGTCGCATTTTATGTGTGTATATATGTGAATGTAGCGGTTTTTTGTATAGTACGATGCACTTGTTTGTTACTACGAAAGTGTAATAAAACGGAGGAGTGAACACTGTGTATGATTGTTGTTTGTATTATTTATTCGCAACTGACAATGGCACTTGCTAACACGTCCGAACCGGTTGATAGTTAGTCGTTGACTGACTACTTAAATATAATTGAAAATTTGGATATAAAATTATAACATAACATAACATGACATAAGACAACATTAACAGTCTATACGACCTAAAGCAGTTTTCTAAGTTCATCAGAAGATGGATACCTTTGAAAGTTTATAAATAAGTATGATAGCGACTTTTAGAAGAAGAGTTAACATTTGATGCTATTTTTTCAGACTATAACAAGATGTTGCACTGTGTTGTTAGTGGACATGAAACTACTTTAAATACTGGTACGTAATCCACCAAAAACTAAAAATCGAAAAAACATAGCGCACTTTGCAAGTGGACTACTCAAGTTTTCACTAACCTATGCGCAAATACGCACTAGAATAGCAGATATCCTTAAAAATCCATTTCCAGGAAAATATTACTGAGACCATTCTCATTCTGTGGCTTGATAATAATGTTAAAATTTGGAGGAATTTTTCGGCGATGAGGGATTGTTTCGGACTTTACGTAATTTTGGGAGAATTCTCGGAATCTTCCGTATTTATTTTTTGGTATCTTTGAAGAACATGCAATTTTGTCTTTTTTCAGTCTTCGGCAATAAAAGGGAATGCTTCGGATTTTCTGTTTTTTTTTGTTTTTTTGGGAATTTGAAACATTTTCTCCGGACAGTTTCAAAATTAAAGGGACTTTTTGTATTTAATTTTTCGGAATTTGTTCGTGACTTTTCGGATTTTCTTTATTTTTCGGTACACTTCACGTTTATTTTTCGGTATCTTTGAAAAATCGGCACTTATTTTTTTGTTTTAGACTTTGCAAATGAAGTGCTACACATTTCCTTTTTTTCGGAATTCATTTGCGATTTTTAGGTTAGTTGGAATTTGTTCGGATCTCGAATATGATGTTTCCAGTTTCATTTTGGAAACTTTCGATAAAAGCATTTTCAGAATATTGGGAATTTTTTCGGCGATTAGGAGTACTTTGCATTTTCGGTGTTTTTTTTTTTAAGATTTGTTCATGGTCTTTTGAAATACCTTTGACAGCCATTGCGATTTATTCATGGTTTTTCGGGATGTTTGGAGAACTTTTCGGACTTTTCGAGTTTATTTTCCGGATTCTTCGAAAAACCCGTGATGTTTTTCTATTTTTTTTACGGTTTGACTTTTCTAGGTTGTCTTCAGATTTTTTCGGAATTTTTTTCCGGGATTTTTTGAAAATTGTTAGCGGCTCTTATTTTTCGGAAATTTTTAACATTTTCTCGGAATTTTATAGATCTTTTCGTCTCTTTTCGTATTCGGTATTTTTCGAGATTGTCTTTTTGGAACTATTCATGTCTATTTTTCGGAATTTTCAAAAAACCTGTGTAATCTTTTCTTTTTTTCGAGATTGTCTTGAGACTTTTTCGGGATCTTTAAAATTTTATTTCGATTTTTTTTGAGAGTTAGAGGCTTTTCGGAATTTTTTAAGAATCTCTCGGGATTTTTTGAAAATTATAACGGGCTTTTATTTTTCGGAAAATTTTAACATTTAATGGAGTGTTTATAGATCTTTTCATCCTAGAATTTTCCAAATTAGCTTGCGAATTTTCGGCACTTTTGGATTTTTTAGACTATTCGGGATTTTTCGAGAATGTATTTTGGAACTAGTCGTGTTTTCAAAAAACCCGTAATCTTTTCTTTTTTTCGAGATTGTCTTCAGATTTTTTCGAGATCTTTAGAATTTTATTTAGAATTTTTTCAGAGTTAGAGGCTTTTCGGGATTTTTCAAGAATCTCTTGGGGTTTTTATGTTTCGAAAATTTTTAGCATTTCTTGGGATTTTCTACGACTTTTCTTGTCTTAATTTCCGCAATTTGTTCGCGATTTTTCGGAACTTTTCGATATTTTGGAATATTTAGAATTTTTCGAGACTGTCTTCGGAATAAATTTGTAATTTTTTTTGTGTGGAATTTTCGGGAGTTAAAGACTTTTTTGGAGAGTCGTTCGGTATTTTCTGGACTTTTTTGTGAGCTTTTAGGACTTTTCAAGAACTTTCAGATTGAAATGTGAATTTAAAATGAAAAAAAATTATTTATGAATGCAAAAATAAAAGGCAAAGTATACCGGTTATTTATTGCCACTAAAGCGGCAGGGAATGTTTGGCTTTTACTTTCGTCTTAAAAAATAACAAGCAAAAAATAATCATTACTGATTATAATCAGTATTCCCTGTAAAATTTCTTTATGACACACTTTAATTAAAATTTTACGCCATTACAAAAAAAGGTTCAATTTCAATCCCTTTAAAATTGCATGAATTATTTTGTTTTCTTTCCAATAGGGGAAAAACCGGAGTAAATTAAATTCAATTCTTCAGAATTTTTAAACACATCACGAAAAAGTAATCGCGCACTCGGAATGCTTGGCAACCATTCAAATATGCAACAGTTATCAACCAGCAGTGGCACCAGCACCTTCTCATTCTGCAACATTTTTTTTTTGCCAGCAGCAAAAGGCGGGGGATTACATTCATACATACTATGTTACTATTGTTATAGTTTGCAGCTGAGCACCCTGGGCAAGCGCTGGGTGCGGGGTGCTATTTCCGCCGAGGTAAATGCCAAGCAATGGGAGCTCGCGCTAACACACCAAAATGAGTATTTGATCCTTTTTATATCCGCAATGTTTGTCAAAACAGATGAGGTTCACTTTTCTGTCGGCAGACAGACAGACGGTTTGCTTGCTTGATATGGATGTATGTATGTATGTATGTATACAGGCCGCCTGCTGCGTAGCGCCTTAATGTATGCTCGAAAGCGTAATGTATAATAGTCTGACACTGCCACACTGTGATGCTGAGGCGTGCGTTGTATGTATGTATGAGTGTAGTTGGCTTGCAAATAAATCTAATACCATGTTCTGACCGACAATGAAAACACTTTGAAAACGAGTTTTGGGGACATTTCCAGAGAATTTAGATAGATAGAGAAGGTGCAAATTTTTGGAACGTAAAATTGTTTGGCTGAAAAATAAATCCATGGAATATCACCACAGCGCGATTAACATTTTAAGAAGAGTTAACAGAGAAAAATGTAAATTTCTGTTATGATAATGTTATATTTGTTGCAAGTGTCTGGCTATATGTGTTGCTAGGTTGCATGTGAATGCAGAAACGTATTCATGTATATTTTTTTAATAAAATTAAATAAATTAATATAGTTAAATTATATTAAATGTACTTTTATATTAGTTAGAATTGCTGATTTGCATTTCTGAATGACCATTTGTTAAATATAATTTATTCAGTAGTTAATGTTGCTAAAAACTTAAAAAGCATCTGTTCAAGTTCGCTTCTTGTACGAGTATTATAATATGTAGATAGTAAAAATGCATGTTAGTTAAAAAAAAATGATAAACTTGGTTTTTTCACATACTCATTTTAAAGATGGACGCATTAACAAAAAAAATGTACAAAGCAATGCACTTGTTAACTTCAAAGTTGTTTTTGACTTTTACTGCAATACTCGTAGATATTATTTGTAAATAATAGTTCTGGAGTCAAATGCAAATCCATTTCCCAGGCATGCGCATATGGATGCTTGTAGTACATACAGATGCGATCAACTAATTAGCAACGAAATACAAAATGGTATTGTTTGCAAATTATGTTTATTTATTTATTTTTAATAATTTCCTTTAAAATATAATTCAATCTATAACAGAAACCACAATAATAAAAGTTTAAAAGCTTGCACAAATTGCAAAATAATAAATCAAACTTCAAAAAATTGTTATAAAAATTTCAAAATTTTTAATTAGAATATTTAGAAAATTTTCGGGTATGCAGTATTGTAGTCCATTCAATTATAGTATAACAAAGTCCAAGTTTCTAGTCGTTAAAAATTATCGCTGATTTTTTAGAATTTTTTTTTTGTGGAGGGTTGTTCGCATTTTCCTCCATATAACACATGAACAATTTTTTTTTTTGTATGGGAAAAAACAGAATTTCTACATTCCGACTTGAACTTTTCTAACGCTGTTAATTTTTCGTCCGCGAATAGTTTCCACTTTTGAGTTTGCACCTTCTCTATCTATCTAAGTTCTCTGACATTTCTTACATCTTTTTGCTACACAAAAACAGAACCAAAATACGCTTCCTTCAACTTCTTTTAATTTACAACCTCTTCCTTTCATTCTTATTTTACTTAGGCCAACCAATTAACAATAAATCCGAAATGGCGTATTAAAGATGATAAAATATGACTTCCACTTCGATTAATAATCGAAAAAAACTAGTGAAGACACCGATTGGACTGAGTGGAACGTGAGTTTTCAAGTAGTTTTCAGCAAAAACTGGTTTTCGTTTAACAGATTTTACATGGATGAAAACACAAGTTTTAGGTCGAAACCCAGTTTTAGCAACTAAAACATGTTTTCGATGTCGGTCAGAACATGGTATAAGTATATGTATCGGCGTTTACGTGTTTGTATGCTACGCAGTGAGTGAATATACATACATATGTACGCGTGTTTATGTGAGCCTCTGTTGGCATTCGTGTATGTATGTGTGAGTTCCTTTATTTTTGCGATAGCGTCTGCAGCGGAAACGCTGCTCGACGACGTCTGCCACAGTTGCATGTGCGCTCCAGCTGCCATGGCTTTTTTGCCTTGCATGCTTTCCTTGCAGTGCATTTGCCTTGCTTTGCATTTGCCTTAGCGAACGTGTATTTGTTTGTGCGAATGAGTCTCATTATTATTTCTAAATTACTTACATTTCATTTCGCTCATTTGGCGTTGTTTTTATTGCGCCTGCCTGCACCTACACGAATACATACATTTGCCAGTATTTTCAACGAACCTTCATATGTACC